GTTTATTGGAGGTAAGAGTCTCATGGACTTTCCTGCCCAGGCTGGCTTGGAATCACGATCCTCAGATCTCAGCCTCCCGAGTAGCTAGGATTCCAGGTGTGAGCCTCTGGCACTGGGCAGCACTGTCTTAGTTTTCCAAAGAGCTTCCTGACTTGTCCGTCCTAACCGCTATTGCCTCCTCCTATCAGATCCTCCTGGCCAACTTCTTAGCCCAGACCGAGGCCCTGATGAAGGGAAAATCAACAGAAGAGGCCCGGAAGGAGCTCCAGGCTGCAGGAAAGAGTTCAGAGGCTATCGAGAAGCTGCTGCCCCACAAGGTCAGCACCGTACCTGAAGTTAGCTTTGGTGACAGTTGCTCAAGCTGGAGCAGGGATGAATGTTTTGGGGCCTGAGCGGTCTCTACCTGTAGGAGTCTAGTTCATCTTACACAGTTGTTGGGGGGGGTGGGGGGAGGCTCCTCCCAAAAGTGTCACTCAGGATTTACTTGTGGATTTTTTTGTTTCTGTTGTTATGAGCCTTGAATTCAGGGCCTGGCCACTGTCTATGAGCTCTTTGGTTCAAGGTTAGTGCTCTACCACTTTAAGCCACAGCCCCACTTCTGGTTTCCCGGTACTTCATTGGAGATAAGAGTCTCGCAGACTTTCCTGCTCCGGCTAGCTTTGAACTAGATCATCTAGATCTCAACCTCTTGAGTCGCCAGGATGACAGGTGTAAGCCCACCAGCGCCCGGCTTCACTTGTGGATTTCTGTTGTTTTTCTGAAGGTCTTTGAAGGAAATCGTCCAACCAATTCAATTGTGTTCACCAGGCTCACACCATTCATTCTTGGGGCGTTGATTGGTGAGGCAGAGGGAAGGGGCCTGGGGGTGGGTGGTGTGGGGCGGGGCAGGCTGTGGAGCTCTGCAGCACGTGTTTCTGCCTCCTCCACAGCTTTGTACGAGCACAAGATCTTCGTTCAGGGTATCATCTGGGACATCAACAGCTTCGACCAGTGGGGGTGAGTGGCTGGCACAAGGGGGTTGGGGACTGCCCGTGGTGACCTGGCTGGCAGTTGCCACTAGCATTGTCCTTCCTCCTCCTCCCGGCAGTGTGGAGCTGGGGAAGCAGCTAGCCAAGAAAATCGAACCGGAGCTCGACAGCAGCACTCCAGTGACCTCTCACGACTCTTCCACCAACGGCCTGATCAGCTTCATCAAGGAGCAGCGTGAGGTCAAACTGGAATAAAAACAGCGGCCCAGCAGCCCAGTGGAGACCACTGCACCCTCCTGTCCCTCCTCACCCTTCTGCACTGCATGGTCCTGACCCTCTCAGCCCAGAGCGCCCTCTGGTGGTGGGCTTGGACCCGTACAAGTCCGTTAGGGGCAGCTGGCCTAGAATTGGCCATTCTCCCATCTGTGTCCACTCTGCCTCTTGTTTTCCATTTGGCTGAAGTGTGTGTTTGGGTGCAGCTGATTTTCTGACCTGCATTCTCATCATTCACATCTCAAGTAGAATAAAGAGTCCACAAAGGAGGTGTATGCACTTAGCATCTTAGCTGTCCTTGATTGGATGCTTTGTGTGGCAGTCAGCACGCGGTGGGAAAAACCCTGTGTCTTGGTTGACACTTGATACAGTGGGGAGCAGGCCAGCGAGGGGGACACAGGACACAGCCAGAGTCATGAAGGCAGCTTGACTTCTAATCAAATCCCAAGTCCACTAGCTTTCTGTTGATTACTTCTCTTTGTTGGGGAGGTAAGAATATGTGCACACATATTCACTGGTCCTGGGGTTTGAACTTGGACTCATTTGCCTTGCTTGCTCATACCTGGTGCTCTACCAGTTGTACCATATCTTCCAGCCGTGTTTTTTTTTTTTTTGGTCAGTCATGGGGCCTGAACTCTGGGCCTGGGCACTGTCCCTCAGCTCTTCAGCTAGCAATCTAGCACTTGAGCCACAGCACCGCTTCTGGCTTTTTGTGCTTATGTGGTGCTGAGGAATCTAACCCAGGGCCTCATGCATGCAAGGCAAGCACTCCACCAATGAGCCACCTTCCCAACCCTCACCCCTGCTTTTTGCTGACAATTGTGATGGAGTCTTGCAAGTTTTTCAGCTGAGGCTGGCTTCAAACTTCAATCTTGGGCTGGGAAGGTGGCTCAGTGGTAGAGTGCTTGCCTTGTATGCATGAGGCCCTAGGTTCCATTCCCCAGCACCACATAAACAAAAAGAAAAAAAGCCAGAAGTGGCGCTGTGGCTCAAGTGGTAGAGCGCTAGCCTTGAGCTGAAGAGCTGAGGGACAGTGCCCAGGCCCAGAGTTCAGGCCCCACGACTGGACCCAAAAAAAAACAACAAAAACTTCAATCTTACATTTTTTAGCCCTCTGGGTAGCTAGGATTATAGATGTGAGCCACGGGATAGTTTTAAAAACAATATTGGCATTATAAACTGGTCAGATAACTTTCTGGCTGAGATCTTGGGTGATTACTATCTGACCAATGCTTAGGTAGTTTTTTTCCCTTTTTTTTCCCCCTTTTATAATTACACTTGTATCTTCTGAAGATAATAGAATATTGTTTTCAGCCAATTAAGAAGATAAGGAATGGGGTTGGGAAGGTGGCTCAGTGGTAGAGCGCTTGCCTTGCACGCATGAGGCTCTGGGTTTGATTCCTCAGCACCACATAAGCAGAAAAAAGCCGGAAGTGGCGCTGTGGCTCAAGTGGTAGAGCGCTAGCCTTGAGCTGAAGAGCTGAGGGACAGCGCCCAGGCCCAGAGTTCAGGCCCCAGGACCGGACCCCCCCTCCCCCCCCAAAAAAAATAAGGAATCTGAGAGACATTGGGAGGAATGGCTGGCAGGCTAGAGGCTGAGCTCTCAGCACCTCCACTTTGGATCATGATCCAGAAGGTCTAGGTAAGGGAATGGCTTCCCCAGCCTTCTCAGCAGACAAAGGGGGCTTTTGCCCCATTCCTTCCTGGGTCACCCATGTCTGCATTGAGTTCTGACTCTGTTCCATGCCTTTCTAGAGCCAAGATCAGCCAGGATTTTCTTTCTTGTTTTTAGGCCGTCATGGGGCTTGAACTCTGGGCCTGAATGCTATCCCTGAGCTCTTCAGCTCAAGGTGAATGCTCTGCCACATGAGCCACAGCACCACTTCCGGTTTTCTGGTGGTTCATTGCAGATAAGAGTCAGAACTTTCCTGCCCCAGCTGATTTTGAACCATGATCCCAGCCTCCTGAGTAGCTAGGATGGCAGTCATGAGCCACCCACACCCGGCTCAGCCAGGATTATTTTCCGCTTCTAGAAGGGGAAGGCAAGTTGTATCTGAAGATTCAAATTGGGGAATAGCCTATTTACATAAATGGCCACATGCATGTCAATGTCCACTAAAAACACTCAAATACCAGCATTTACCTTTCCACTGGTGAGGCTAGCCTTGATCAAAAGAAGCTCAAGTACAGTGCCTAGGCCCTAAGTTCAAGCCCCAGGACTGGCTGTATGTATGTGTGTTATGTATATATATATATATGTGTGTGTGTGTGTGTATGTATGGTTTTTTTTTTTTTTTTGGTCCTGTCATGGGGCCTGAACTCTGGGCCTGGGCGCTGTCCCTCAGCTCTTCAGCTCAAGGCTAGCGCTCTACCACTTGAGCCACAGCGCCACTTCTGGCTTTTTTCTTTTTGCTTATGTGGTGCTGAGGAATTGAACCCAGGGCCTCAAGCATGCAAGGCAAGCGCTCTACCACTGAGCCACCTTCCCAGGCCAAAGTGATTCTTGTTTTGAGGGTTTGTATATTCTTTGACCTCAAAGTGAATACCTTTTTTATTTGACCTTTGTAAAGGGGGCAGCTCTTCTTGGCCACCATGCCTGGCTTTTTTTTTTTTTTTTTTTCCTCTTTGGTGCTGGGGGTGGGAGTCAGGGCCTCATGCATGCTAGACAAGAGCTGTACCACAGAACTACACATTCCCCACCCTGTGCACCAGTGTGTGTGTGGGTACAGGGGACTGATAAGGGCTTTACACTCAGCTTTTTCACCTGTGGCTGACACTCTACCACTTGAACTAAAGCTTCACTTCGGGCTTTTTGGTGATTAATTCGGAGACAATAGTCACAGACGTTCCTGCCTGGGCTGGCTTTGAGCCATGATGCTCAGATATCTGCCTCCTAAGTAGCTAGGAGCTTGTCTGCATTTTTTTTTTTTTTTGGCGAGGGGGTGGGGGATTGGGGGGTGGGGAGGAGGTCACAGGCCACTGTCCCTGAGCTCTTTCACTCAAGGCTAGCCACACCCTACCACAAAGAGCCACAGTGCCACTTCCTTGTGGGTAGAAAGTCTCAAGGACTTTTCCTGGGCTGGCTTTGAACTGTGATCCTTTCACCTCAGCCTCCTGAGTAGCTAGGATTACAGGTGTGAGCCACCAGCACCTGGTGCTTCCATTATTTTTTTTCTTTTGGTGCGTACATATATATATGTGTGTGTATGTGTATATATACATATATATATATATACATATATACATACACACATATACATACATACAGCCAGTCCTGGGGCTTGAACTCAGGGCCTAGGCACTGTACCTGAGCTGCTTTTGCTCAAGGCTAGCACTCTACCCCTTGAGCCACAGCGTCATTTCAGGCTTTTTCTGTGTATGTGGTACTGAGGAATCAAACCCAGGGCTTCATGCCTGCTAGGCAAGCAGTCTACCACTGAGCCACCTTCCCAGCCTACATTTTTTTTTAAATCTTGAAGTAAAGCTTTCTGGCAAGGTGACTTCATAGTAGACAGTATACACTTCCTGTTACAGGACATTAGAAGTATAGAACCTAGGTGCTTATGGATTTGAACCTAAGACTCAGCAGACAAAGGTGAGGCTGCAGGATGCTGCACGTAGGGCCTTAAAGGGTCACATCTAGTATCCTGCAGGAGGATGCTAATGCGGGGGAGGCGTGGCTCTGCTGGCGTGGGTGCTGCGCGTGCGCAGAGATCTAACCCTCGCGGCTTCCGTAGCCCATCCGATCACGTGGCCGCCATGGCTGCGGTCAGAAAGCCCCCGGTGCTGCTCGGACTTCGGGACGCGGCAGTGCGGGACGGCCTCACGGGGCCGAGCGCCTGGACGGCGAGCAAGCTGGGCGGCGTTGCGGTGAGGGCCGGGGCGGGCGCCGGGCGCGGGCGGGCGCGGGGCGGGGCCGGGGGCCGCCTCCGAGCGCTGTCTCCGCTCTCAGGACGCCCTGCCCGCCGTGGCGGCGCCGAGGCCCGCGTGCGCGCGCTGCGGGCGGCCGCTCGCGCTGGTCGTGCAGCTGTACTGCCCGCTCGAGGGCTCCCCGTTCCACCGGCTCCTGCACGTGTTCGCGTGTGCCCAGCCGACGTGCGCGGACGGCGGGTGAGCGGAGGGCAGGGTCCCCACCCCCGGGGGCGCGGACGGCGGGTGAGCGGAGGGCAGGGTCCCCACCCCCGGGGGCGCGGACGGCGGGTGAGCGGAGGGCAGGGTCCCCATCCCCGGGGGGGGCGGGTGAGCGGAGGGCAGGGTCCCCACCCCCGGGGGCGCGGGTGAGCGGAGGGCAGGGTCCCCACCCCCGGGGGGGCGCGGGGGGCGCGGGTGAGCGGAGGGCAGGGTCCCCATCCCCGGGGGGGCGGGTGAGCGGAGGGCAGGGTCCCCACCCCCGGGGGCGCGGGTGAGCGGAGGGCAGGGTCCCCACCCCCGGGGGGGCGCGGGGGGCGCGGGTGAGCGGAGGGCAGGGTCCCCACCCCCGGGGGGGCGGGTGAGCGGAGGGCAGGGTCCCCACCCCCGGGGGCGCGGGGGTGAGCGGAGGGCAGGGTCCCCTCCCCCGGGGGGGCGCGGGGGGCGCGGGTGAGCGGAGGGCAGGGTCCCCACCCCCGGGGGCGCGGGGGTGAGCGGAGGGCAGGGTCCCCACCCCCGGGGGGGCGCGGGGGGGCGCGGGTGAGCGGAGGGCAGGGTCCCCACCCCCGGGGGCGCGGGGGTGAGCGGAGGGCAGGGTCCCCACCCCCGGGGGGGCGCGGGGGGCGCGGGTGAGCGGAGGGCAGGGTCCCCACCCCCGGGGGCGCGGGGGTGAGCGGAGGGCAGGGTCCCCACCCCCGGGGAGATGCGGGGGGCGCGGGTGAGCGGAGGGCAGGGTCCCCACCCCCGGGGAGATGCGGGGGGCGCGGGTGAGCGGAGGGCAGGGTCCCCACCCCCGGGGGCGCGGACGGCGGGTGAGCGGAGGGCAGGGTCCCCACCCCCGGGGGGGATGCGGGGCGCGCGGGTGAGCGGAGGGCAGGGTCCCCACCCCCGGGGAGATGCGGGGGGCGCGGGTGAGCGGAGGGCAGGGTCCCCACCCCCGGGGAGATGCGGGGGGCGCGGGTGAGCGGAGGGCAGGGTCCCCACCCCCGGGGGCGCGGACGGCGGGTGAGCGGAGGGCAGGGTCCCCACCCCCGGGGGCGCGGACGGCGGGGTGAGCGGAGGGCAGGGTCCCCCGGGGGCGCGGGTGAGCGGAGGGCAGGGTCCCCACCCCCGGGGGGGGCGCGGACGGCGGGTGAGCGGAGGGCAGGGTCCCCACCCCCGGGGGCGCGGACGGCGGGTGAGCGGAGGGCAGGGTCCCCACCCCCGGGGGCGCGGACGGCGGGTGAGCGGAGGGCAGGGTCCCCATCCCCGGGGGGGCGGGTGAGCGGAGGGCAGGGTCCCCACCCCCGGGGGCGCGGGTGAGCGGAGGGCAGGGTCCCCACCCCCGGGGGGGGCGCGGGGGGCGCGGGTGAGCGGAGGGCAGGGTCCCCATCCCCGGGGGGGGCGGGTGAGCGGAGGGCAGGGTCCCCACCCCCGGGGGCGCGGGGTGAGCGGAGGGCAGGGTCCCCACCCCCGGGGGGGCGCGGGGGGCGCGGGTGAGCGGAGGGCAGGGTCCCCACCCCCGGGGGGGCGGGTGAGCGGAGGGCAGGGTCCCCACCCCCGGGGGCGCGGGGGTGAGCGGAGGGCAGGGTCCCCTCCCCCGGGGGGGCGCGGGGGGCGCGGGTGAGCGGAGGGCAGGGTCCCCACCCCCGGGGGCGCGGGGGGTGAGCGGAGGGCAGGGTCCCCACCCCCGGGGGGGGCGCGGGGGGCGCGGGTGAGCGGAGGGCAGGGTCCCCACCCCCGGGGGCGCGGGGGTGAGCGGAGGGCAGGGTCCCCACCCCCGGGGGGGCGCGGGGGGCGCGGGTGAGCGGAGGGCAGGGTCCCCACCCCCGGGGGCGCGGGGGTGAGCGGAGGGCAGGGTCCCCACCCCCGGGGAGATGCGGGGGGCGCGGGTGAGCGGAGGGCAGGGTCCCCACCCCCGGGGAGATGCGGGGGGCGCGGGTGAGCGGAGGGCAGGGTCCCCACCCCCGGGGGCGCGGACGGCGGGTGAGCGGAGGGCAGGGTCCCCACCCCCGGGGGGGATGCGGGGCGCGCGGGTGAGCGGAGGGCAGGGTCCCCACCCCCGGGGGCGCGGACGGCGGGTGAGCGGAGGGCAGGGTCCCCACCCCCGGGGGCGCGGACGGCGGGTGAGCGGAGGGCAGGGTCCCCCGGGGGCGCGGGTGAGCGGAGGGCAGGGTCCCCACCCCCGGGGGGGCGCGGACGGCAGGTGAGCGGAGGGCAGGGTCCCCACCCCCGGGGGCGCGGGGCGCGCGGGTGAGCGGAGGGCAGGGTCCCCCGGGGGCGCGGGTGAGCGGAGGGCAGGGTCCCCACCCCCGGGGGGGCGCGGACGGCGGGTGAGCGGAGGGCAGGGTCCCCACCCCCGGGGGCGCGGACGGCGGGTGAGCGGAGGGCAGGGTCCCCACCCCTGGGGGCGCGGGGGTGAGCGGAGGGCAGGGTCCCCACCCCTGGGGGCGCGGACGGCGGGTGAGCGGAGGGCAGGGTCCCCACCCCCGGGGGGGGCGCGGGTGAGCGGAGGGCAGGGTCCCCACCCCCGGGGGCGCGGGGGGCGCGGGTGAGCGGAGGGCAGGGTCCCCACCCCCGGGGGGCGCGCGGGTGAGCGGAGGGCAGGGTCCCCACCCCCGGGGGCGCGGGGGTGAGCGGAGGGCAGGGTCCCCTCCCCCGGGGGCGCGGGGGTGAGCGGAGGGCAGGGTCCCCCATCCCCGGGGGCGCGGGGCGCGCGGGTGAGCGGAGGGCAGGGTCCCCCACCCCCGGGGGCGCGCGGGTGAGCGGAGGGCAGGGTCCCCACCCCCGGGGGCGCGGGGGTGAGCGGAGGGCAGGGTCCCCCATCCCCGGGCGCGTGGGTGAGCGGAGGGCAGGGTCCCCCACCCCCCGGGGGGCGCGAGCTGGGGCGGGGACAGGCCCGGGGACCCAGCCCTCACCGCTGCCCGTCTTTACCCCGAAGCTGGAAGGTGCTGCGCTCCCAGTGTCTGCAAGTGCGAGAGAAGGAGGCGGCAGAAGCTCAGGTAAAACCGTCGAGACTGGCATGTGCACGTGTGGCTGTCATTTGAGGCTGTTGTTGACCTCTGTTACTGTGTGGGACAAAGCCGGGCTTGATGGTGTACATCTGTAATACCAGCAACTTGAGAATCAGAAGCAGCAGAGTGACACAGTCAAGGTAGCCAACCTGAGCTATATAACAAGACCCTGTCTCAAGAAAAAAGAAAAGTTCAACGAAATGGGTTCTGAGCTTTTATATTTATTTATTTGTTTGTTTTGAACTCGGCCTAGGCGTTGCCCCTCAGCTCTTCAGCTCAAGACTAGCACTCTACCACTTGAGCCACAGCGCCAGCGCCACTTGCGGTTTTCTTGTGGTTAATTGGAGATCAGAGTCTCATGGACTTTCCTGCTGATGCTGGCTTGGAACAGTGATCCTCAGATCTCAGCATCCTGAGTAGCTAGGATTACACACGTGAGCCATGGGTGCCCGGCTATTTTTGTTGTTTCTATGCCAGTTCTGGGGCTCAAACTCAGGCCTGGGAAGCTCCTACATGTGATATATACCTCAACTGGAAGATAACCGGCATAAGCTATTATATCCTGTATCCAAAAGAGACTCCAAAACATCTAGTTAAATAAGCTAAGAACTTTATTACCACCGCATGGGGACCACTTTCTACCACCAGGGAAGTAGGAGCTAAGGTAGGATGGGTTTTTATAGAGGTAGGTTACATAGAGTTATATAGATGAGCCATGCAAGGCAGGTTTGGCACATTTTTTATTGGTTATAATTACATTGTTATAATTACTTTGTTATAATTACATTGTTATAATTACATTGTTATAATTACTTGTTCTGCATGGTAAATATCATGCTATATGGTAAATATAATAATTTGCAATAGGCCACTCATAGTGGGACCACTCGGTGGTGGTCTTTAATTGGTGGGCGTAAGGCCCTGTTACTCAGGCAAGCAAGCTTACAGACGCGAAACATAGCAACACGTAGCCTCCAGTCACAGGAGCATAGGTGAAACATAATCTTGTCTTGGTCAGCATGACCAATATTATCAATGTGATTGACACTAGTAGAGAAATGATTCGTATTATAAGCTCCTGACTAATACAGCAACTCAGTGCAGCTGGTGATAAGCCTCAAGGTTCTCAGTAGCCTTCTGCAAAGCTGCCAGCTTGGTAAACTTGAGTGAAGGAGCGATGTTATTTTGCTTTTTAGCAAGGATGGAGAAGGGGCAAAGGCTGAGTACCCAGTCAGCCTTTGTCTGGGGTTTCCTTTACCAAGAGGTTTTTGCCCTTTATCAATAATCTTGTTCTGTTTTGGTTTTTTTCCCCCCACATTTTTGTTCCCATGGATATTCTTTTCCCAGGGAAAAGGAGGTTCAGGGGAGAGAGTAAATTTCCAACAGCAGGAGGGCCTGAGGCCAGACCATAGGAGGAACTTTCTCCCAGTGAATAGCAACTCATATTACATAAGCCAGATGCTGGTGGCTCACACCTGTAATTTCAGCTACTCAGTGAAAATCTGAGGACTGAGGTTCAGAGGTAGCCTGGGCAGCTAGGCCATAACACTCTTCTCTGCAATTAACTAGCAAGAATGGCAGATTGGAGGTGTGGTTCAAGTGACAGCACCAGCCTTGAGGGAAAAAGCTAAAAGAGAGCTCCCAGGCCTTGAGTTTAAGCCCATTTTGTTTGCAGTTGGAGAATAAACTTCAGCTGCCTTTTGCTGTAGATCTCTATATACTGTTTAATATATGAGAGACACAGTACCAACAATATAGGAAATAAAAAGATGAGTATGTCTGTCTGTTCAGTATCTGATAATAGATAAGCTGACACAGACTTAACCCTAAAACTTAACACAAGGACTTAACTAATTTGATAGGCTGCAGAACGTGAAGTCAGGAATGACCTCTGAAACCACTTGTGTGTGTGTGGGGGGGGGGGGTATTCTGGGGTGGGGAGAGGAGTTGTGAGGCTTGAACTCTGGGCCTGGGTGCTGTCCCTGAGCTCTTCAGTGGCTCTATCACTTGAGCCACAACGCCACTTCTTATTGGGGATAAGAGTTTCATGGATTTCCTGCCCCGGGCTGGCTTTGAACTGTGATCCTCAGATCTCAACCTTCTGAGTAGCTAGGATTACAGGAGTGAGCCACCAGTACTCAGCCTGGAAACTACATTTTACAACTGGCTGGTGTGTCATACTAACTACCTTGCCTGCAGTCAGGAAGCTCAAGAGTAGTTAGGTAAACTGGGGGCCACGCTGGACACCTACTGTGCTTCAGACTTATTCCCTTTGCTTCATGGCTTTTTGTTGTTGTTGTTTTGTTTGTTTGGTTTTTTTGGGTCATGGGGCCTAGGCATGGTCCCTGAGCTTTTCTGCTCAAAGCTAGCGCTCTGCCACTTTTAGATACTAATCCACTTACAGTTTCTGGGTGGTTAATTGAAGATAAGAGTCTCACAGACTTTTCTGCCCCACCTGGCTTCAAACCACAATCCTCAGATCTCATTCTCCTGGAGGGGCTCCAGGCAGGAGCCACTGGTGCCCAGCTCATGACATTTCTTTATTCTGTCCACGTTTAGATCTATTTTTGGTGGTCTCAAGTTTGTGTCTCTCTGTGATAGACCTACTTAGACTCCTGATCAAACCTTAAGACCCTAGATGCTAAAGGAGTCTGAAGAATGTAGTTCTTTCCTTCAGTTTCTGCAGTACATGAAGCGCAACAAAAAGATTTTAGAACAGATGGTTGAAAACATGATGGGCTACCTAAGGCTATGCTGCCTTCCCTGGAAAGGAAAGCAAGTACTGAAATTATCTACCACACGATAATAAATAGCTGGAATCCAAGAAGTTGGATTGGGGTTCCCAAGAGGGGAACAGATGGTGTAAAGACAAGGTATAGATGAAATCTCTGTGTGACGTCTAAGCACGATTGCTCTTTATTTGCTGGTTATCTTTCAGAAACAGGAAAGTGGCCTTGCAGCTGAGAGCTGGTGTGAAGGTGCAGATGACTGGGGGGGTGACGGTGAGGAGACGCCTGCACCCCAGCTTCCTCTGGACTTTGGAAAGGATTCCTATTGTGCCAAGGACGCCGACTGCACAGTGCAGCTCCAGGGCCTCTGCCTGAAGGACACTGGCGTGGATGCGGCCTGTCCTGCATCTCAGCACAGAGGAATGGCTGTCCCCACTGGAGTGCCACAGTTCCAGCCCTTCTACATCTGTGTGGTCGACGAGGAGGACTTCAGAGACTTGGTCAGTCTCGATCATGCCTACAACCTCCTGAGGGACTACGAGCAGCGAGAAGGAATTCATATGGACCAATTGCTTTCCCAAAGGTGAATGGTTGCTGCTGAGGTAGGAAGGTACCACACACAGCAGGCACCTTAGACTTTGCCTCGGTTCTTAGGGACACTTCAGGACGAACATATGTGGTATATAGGACCTTTCTGCTTCACTCCTTGGATAAGAAACAGCAACACAGGTGGGCGAGCTCTTTCCAGGCAACATGAGTTAGCTTGCAAACACATGGCTTTATTGATAACTGCACTCAAGAAAATGAAAGGTGAGACTAGGTACAGTGGCTCACATCTATCATCCCAGAAACTCAGGAGGCAAAGATCAGAACAGTCTCATTTCAAAGCACACCAGGATGAGAATCATCCCAGACAGGTGCTGGTGGTTCATACCTATAATCCTAGCTACTCAGGAGGCTGAGATCTGAGGATCATGGTTTGAAGCCAGCTCATGCAGAAAAGTCTGCTGTGAGACTCTTATCTCCAGAAAACCAGAATTGGTGCCAGGGTTCAAAGGGATAGAGTGCTAGCCTAGAGCAAAAAGAGCTCAGGCCCTGAGTTCAAGCCCCTTGACTGACAAAAAAAAAAAGAGTCCATCAACCAATAAAGCTGGGCATGGTAGTGGGCCCTTGTCATCCTAGCTATTCTTGAAGCTTGCTAAATAAATAGTAGCATCAAGGTCTGGGCTGACCTGGGCAGGAGTGTCAAACACTATCTGAAAATTAGAAGAAGAAAAAAAAAGCCAAAACTCACCACCCCAACCCCACACCATGAGAAAAATAACGAAACGTCCTTTATCAGCGCTGTTTCTCTTGTCAGCTCTTTTCAGAATAGTCGTGGGGCCTCAGCTGTCCCTCAGCTCTTCAGCTCAAGGCTAGTACTCTACCACTTGAGCCACAGCGCCACTTATGGCTTTTTCTGCTTATGTGGTGCTGAGGAATGGAACCCAGGGCCTCATGCATGCAAGGCAAGCGCTCTACCACTGAGCCACCTTCCCAGCCCCTTCTCAGAATAATGTTAAAGGACATGTTGATGTTTGACAAATGATTTATGAAAATAATCTATGCCTCTATGGAGACAGTCAACAGACATAATGGCCTGTTACTATTGAAATTGGTTTGGGAGAATGGCGGGGGCTGTACATGTATTTGAGAGATCAGTTTTGTGCTTTCTTTGTGGTGCTGGAAATTATACCCATGCTCTCGTATGTGCTAAATACCTGTTCTGCCACTGACTGAGCTATACAGCCTTATCCCCTAATCCCTCCTCTGCCCCTCCCTGGGTCCTAGAGCTTGAACTTGGCCTGGGTGCTGACTCAGAGCTGTTTTTTTTGCTCAAGGCTGTTGCTCTATAACTTGAAGCACAGTGTCACTTCTGGCTTTTTCTGAGCAGTTAATTGGAGTCTCACAGACTTTCCTGCCTGTGCTGGCTTTGAACCACAGAGCTCAGCCAGCCTCTTTAGTAGCTAGGATTACAGATATGAGCCACTGGCACGCAGCTAATGAATTTCATTTAATTTGTCTGTTTATTTTGGGCAGACTGGGATTTTGAACTCAGGACCTTGAACCTACTACGCAAGTATGCTCTCACTTAGCTCTGCCTCCAGCCCCTAAATTCTTTAAAAGAAAATAATTTTCACTGGGCGCCCGTGGCTCACACCTGTAATCCTAGCTACTCAGGAGGCTGAGATCTGAGGATCACAGTTCAAAGCCAGCCCGGGCAGGAAAGTCCATGAGACTTCTCTCCAATAAACCACTAGAAAAACCGGAAGTGGTGCTGTGGCTCAAGTGGTAGAGCGCTCATCTTGAGCTGAAGAGCTGTGGGATCGCCCTCAAGCCCAGAGTTCAAGCCCCATGGCCAACAAAAAATAAAAATAAAATAATTTTCTACTGGGCAACGGTGACTCAGGCCTGTAATCCCAGCTACTGAGGAGGCTGAAATTTGAGGATCATGATTCAAAGCTACCAGGGCAGGAAACTCTATGAGACCCTTTATCTCCAATTAACCTCCAAAAAACTAAAAGTAGAGAGACTGGCTCAAATAGTAGTGTGCTTCCCTTGAGAAACAAAGTTAAGGGAGAGTACCCTGGCCCTGAGTTTAAGTCCCAGTCCTGGCACAAAAAAAAAAATCTTATTTGCTCTCCTAAGTATTATAATTCTCTGACTATTCACACTAAGAGTGTTTTTTGCTTTTCTCTTTAGTTTTTCTGATGCTGGTGATGAAAAATATGAGAAGACCAAAATTAAAAGTGGCGATCAAATGTTTTACAAATTCATGAAGAGAATTGCTGCTTGTCAGGACCAGATTTTGAGGTAAAGAAAGCAGATTTTCTTTCTTTTTTAATAAATATTACTATTGTGGGAGTAATGCATGCTGGTGTGCAACTGTAATTCCAGCTATTTGGAAGACTGAGGCAGGAGGATCGCTTGAGCCTGGAAGTCAAAAGGCAGCCTGCACAATAGAGACTCTTCCTCCCCCCCCCCCCCCCCCCCCCCCACCTAGTTCATGGGGCTTGAATTCAGGGCCTGAGCCCTTTTTCTCTTTTGCTCAAGGCTAGTACTCTACCACTTTGAGCTACAATTCCACTTCTGGTTTGTGTGTGATTAATTGGAGATTGTCTCATGTGGACTTTTCTGCCTGGGCTGGGTGTGAACCTTGATCCTCATATCTCAGCCTCCTACATAGCTAGGATTACAGGCCTGAGCCACCAGTGCTCAGCTGAGACCCTGTCTTTAAAAAAAATACAGGAAGTTGTGCTGTGGCTCAAGTGGTAGAATGCTAACCTTGAGCACAAACAGTCTCAGAGACAGCACCAAGGCCCTGAGTTCAAGCCCCACAACTGACCAAAAAAAAAAAAAAACACCAAAAAAACCAAGCTGAGCGCCAGTGGCTTATGCCTGTAATCTTCACTACTTGAGAGTCTGAGATCTGAGAATTCAGGTGCCAGCCTGAGCAGAAAAACCTGAGAGACTCTTATCTCCAGTTACCCAGCTAAAAGCTGGACTGGAAGGATAGCTGAAGTTGGCAGAGTGCCAACTGAGCAAGATAACAAAGACTAGCTGAGTACAGGCGGTTCACGCCTATAATCCTAGCTACTCAGGAGGCAGAGATCTGAGGATCAAGGTTTGAAGTCAGCCTGGGCAGGAAAGTCCATGAGACTCTCATCTCCAGTTAACCGTCCAAAAGCCCAGAAGCAGAGCTGTGGCTCAAAGCAATAGAGCACAAGCCTTAAGCACTTAGCTCAGGGATAGCACCCAGGCCCTGAGTTCAAGCCCTAGGATTGGCATCAAAATAAAACAAACTATATTGAGATAATTTGAGGGTGGGAGGCTTGGCTTACCCAATGAGCAAAAGCAAGTGTCAGTGAGTTTGAGTCCCTGTATGGGGGGAGGGGGGGGAGAGGGCTGGGAAGGTGGCTCAGTGGTAGAGTGCTTGCCTTGCATGCATGAGGCCCTGGGTTTGATTCCTCAGCACCACATAAGAAAAAAAGGCCGGAAGTGGTGCTGTGGCTCAAGTGGTAGAGCGCTAGCCTTGAGCTGAAGAGCTGAGGAACAGCGCCCAGGCCCAGAGTTCAGGCCCCACAACCAGAAGAAAAAAAAAATTGAGAATGCAGAGAAATTGAGAGTTCAGGCATGCCTTTCAGCTTCCCCTAACAGTTCCATCTTATCTCACCATGTGCAATAATTTAATACCAGAAGCAAAACTCCTTTCTTTTTCCAGCCCTGGGGCTTGACCTCAGAGCCTGGACACTGACCATGAGCTTCATTTGCTCAAGGCTAGTATTCCACCACTTGAGCCACAGTGCCACCTCTGGCTTTTTCTGTTTATGTGGTACTAAGGAATCGAACCCAGGCCTTCATGCATGCTGGGCAAGCACTCTACCACTAAGCCATATTCCCAGCCCCCTTTTTTTTAAACGTTGGTACTGGAACTTGAACTCAGGGCTTTGCATTTGCAGGCAAGTGTTTTACATGTGAGCTATGCTTCCTGCCCCTATCTAGTGAGTTTTGTTGTTTTTTTTTTCTCAAATTTTTTATTGTGATTAAATGGTTACATAATTTCCCAAATTTCACAGTATTGTGGGATAGTGATGCTTAAAGTCACAAACACATTCTCACTTTCATGGAGCAAACTGTCTATCATGGTCTATAGCATTTATGAGTTCTATGAGCTTTGCAATACAGTTATTTCTTCCACATTGGGTGGTATGTACATTTCTTCTGTTTTGCATAGCATCAGCTGTTCCCTCTCTCCCACTTGTATGCGTGTATACATGCATGTAACTTGTATGCATGTGGCTCTGATTCAGTGCTCTTCCTTTCTTTTTTCTAGGTATTCCTGGAGTGGAGAGCCACTTTTTCTGTCCTGTCCCACGTCAGGAATCACGGAGGTCCCAGCCTGTGGCCACTGTGGAGGCCCCAGAACATTTGAGTGTCAGCTTATGCCAGCACTGGTCACCATGCTCAACAGTGCTCATTTAGGTAGGAATCTCTTGGGGTTGAAAGACTGATTTTGTTTAATAAAACACCATAGCATGTTGTAGAAAATTTGGGAAATTAAATTGTTTTAAGAAATTATTATTATTTTTTTTATTTTTTATTTTTTGGTGGGGTCGTGGGGCCTGAACTCTAGGCCTGGGCTCTGTTCCTCAGCTCTTCAACTCAAGGCTATAGCACTCTACCACTTGAGCCACAGCGCCACTTCCAGCTTTTTTTTCTGCTTATGTGGTGCTGAGGAATCAAACCCAGGGCCTCATGCATGCAAGGCTCTACTACTGAGCCAACTTCCCAGCCTAAGAAATTATTTTTTAAAAATTAAGTTGATATACATACCTAAGGGTTACAATTACATAAGTCCGGTAATGAGTACATTTCTTTTTGGACAATGTCACTCCTTCTCTCTCAGACTGTTCCAGTTTTTCCTTCCTAAAGAAATTATTTTTTCTTTTTCTTTTTGTATCCATTCTAGGGCTTGAACTCAGGGTCTGGGCACTGTCCCTTGAGTGCTCAAGGCTGGCACTCTCCCACTTCAACCATAGCTCCACTTCTGGCTTTTTTTTTTTTTTTTTGAGTTGTTAATTGAAGAGTCTCACAGACTTTCCTGCTGGGGCTGGCTTTAAACTAAGATCCTCTGATCTCAGCCTCCTGAGTAGTTAGGATTACAGGCATGAGCTACTGGCACCTGACTTTTTTTTTTTTTTTTGTCGGTCGTGGGGCCTGAACTCTGGGCCTGGGCACTGTCCCTCAGACCTTCAGCTCAAGGCTACAGCACCACTTCCGGCTTTTTTCTTTTTGCTGTGGTGCTGAGGAATCGAACCCAGGGCCTCAGGCATGCAAGGCAAGCGCTCTACCACTGAGCCACCTTCCCAGCCTGGCACCTGACTTTTTGTTTTATTTATTTGAAAATTATTTTTTGGTTGGTTGAGAGTAGGTCTTGCCATACTTCCTGGATTTTCTTTGAGGTGATCCCATTTCAGTTTCATTAAACATGTAGGATATATCTCTTGTAAGTGAATTGAGAGTGTGAAAGGTATGAGCCTCTTCATTAGGCTCTGCCATGGGTGATGCAACTGTTGAACTAGATTCTAGAGTTCCAAAATAGCCTCTACAAGTAGTCCTGCCAGCTCCATGTTGGAGGATGATTGGATTCCTGGAGCTTCTTACTCAGCCATCTTCAACAGCCTTGCTTCCATGGTTTATTTTTGTTTATTAATCTTGTGTCCTGAAACTGTAATCTGCATCATTGTTCATAAGATTTTTTTTTTTTTTTGGCCAGTCCTGGGGCTTGAACTCTGGGCCTGGGCACTGTCCCTGAACTTCTTTTGTACAAGGCTAGCACGCTACCATTTGAGCCACAGAGCCACTTCCAGCTTTTTCTGTTTATGTGTTTCTGAGGAATAACCCAGGGCTTCATTCCTGCTAGGCCAGCACTCTACCACTAAGCCACATTCCCCCAGCCCTCCCTTAGCTTCTTTTTGCTCAAGGCAGGTATTCTACCGCTTGATCTGCAGTGTCACTTTCGGATTCTTTGAGTAGTTGCTGCTAGTTTTTTTGTTGTTGTTGTTGCTGTTTTCCCTGGTCAGTTGTGGGGCCTGAACTCTGGGCCTGGGCGCTGTCCCTCAGCTCTTCAGCTCAAGGCTAGCGCTCTTCCACTTGAGCCACAGCGCCACTTCCGGCTTTTTTTCTTTTTGTTTATGTGGTGCTGAGAAATTGAACCCAGGGCCTCATGCATGCAAGGCAAGCGCTCTACCACTGAGCCACCTTCCCAGCCCCTTCATCAGATTTTGAACAGAGATGATTATATGTTATCTGTGTATAGAAATCCTCCTTCTCTGTAAGGCTGGGCCTTTTTGTGTTTGCTTGAGACGAGGTCACTGTTCCTCCTGCCTCCGCTCCAGTGCTGGCATCACATGCCTGGCCTTGGCTGCCTTTTTTTGTGTTTATTTCCTTTTGTTTTTCACTGTGGCGTTAACTCAAAGTTCTAATACAATCTTAAATTAAATGGGGGAGAATATGTATCATTGTTACATTTCTGATAACAGGAGTAAAGCTGCTAGTGTTTATCATGAGGTAACCGCCTTAGGTTGTTTTTTTTTTTTTAACTTGTAGGCTGGGATGGGAGGGAAAAACTGGGAGAGAACAAAGGAAGGGGTGACACTGTCCAAAAAGAAATTAGTCAGCACTTGACTTGTGAAATGGTAGCCCCCTGTATATCACCTTTATAATAACAATCTTAAATGTTTAATAATAAAAGTAATTTTATTGTTATTATTAAGGTGTTGTACAGAGGAGCTACCATTTCATAAGTCAGGTAATAATGAATCCTTTCTTTTTTTTTTGTGGGTCATGGGGCTTGAACTCTAAGCCTGGGTGCTGTCCCTCTTCAGCTCAAGGCTAGTGCTCTACCACTTGAGCCATAGTGCCACTTTCGGCTTTTCTGGTGGTTTATTGGAGATAAGAGTCTCACGGACTTTCCTGCCATGGCTGGCTTAGAACCACGGTCATCAGATCGCAGCCTCCTGAGTAGCTAGGATAACAGGTGTGAGCCACCAGTGCCAAGCTTTTTTTTCCCCCCAGTTCTGGGGCTTGAACTCAGGGCCTAGGCACTGTCCCTGAGCTTTTTTTGCTCAAGGCTAGCACTCTACCATAGTGCCACTTTTGGCTTTTTCTGTTAATGTGGTACTGAGGAATTAAACCCAGGGCTTCATGCGTGCTAGGCAAGCACTCTACCACTAAACCACATTCCCAGCCCTGAGTACATTTCTTTCTCTTTTTTTTTTGGACAATGTTACCCCTTCCTTTACTTTCCCGGCAGTATTGTAGGTTTTTGTAAAGCTTTTTATGAGGGTTGGGAAGGTGGCTCAAGTGGTAGAGTGCTAGCCTTGAGCTGAAGAGCTGAGGGACAGCGCCCAGGCCCAGAGTTCAGGCCCCACGACTGGACCCCCCCCCACCAAAAAAAAAAAAAAAAGCTTTTTATGAGGCTGAAGAAGGGCTTGACTTCGTAGTTTTTTGTATTCTTTTTGTAACAATACAAATAGTGTGTGTGTGTCTCTCAAGGCTGGCTTTGAACTTGAGAAGCTGAGATCTACCTGCCTCAGCAGATTGCTAGCATTACAAGCCTGCACCACTCCTGGCTTTTATGCTTGTTTTGATCCCTGACTTTTAGGTTGTAGATAATTCTCAAAGTGAAAGCTGACAAGCGGGGAGGGAGAACGCTCTGTGGTATCAGGGTGTGTGAACTGACACATTCAAGGCCTAGGCCACAGCTCCACACACCCTCCCACCTTCCATCCCAAAGCAAAGTGCTGAAGGGAAGTTCTCTGTGAAAAGACAGAACTTGTTTACTAATCATCTACTTTGTTTGGATAGAAGCCTTGAAATGTTTGCATTTGAGATCTTTTCTCCAGATAGTTTGGCTCATTCCAAGAATGCTTTCCCACTTTCTTCCTTTGAGGGAGGCTGATGACTCAGTGCCACTGGGGCTGTGCTGAGGTCCGCCTGCTGCAATCTTGTTCATTTTCCCAGGGGTGGCACAGACCCAGCTGAGTGCAGTGCACACCTGGTAACGTGCACAGCTAGTGTGTATTCTCCTGCTACTGCCATTTGGATGGAATCCACTTTTGATGTCAGTGGTCACTATGGGGTGGACTGCAAATACATGGTAGCTGAAAGCAGTAAGCAGTTTATTTGAAGGCAATACTGGGACTTGAACTCAGAGTGTGGGTACTGTCTCTTAGCTTTCCACTCAAGGATAATATTCTACCACTTGAGCTACATATCTCTACTTCTGGCTTTTTGGTGGTTAATTAGAGATAAGAGTCTCACGGGCTTTTCTGCTTGGGATGGCTTCAAACCTCACCCCTTAGATCTCAGTCAGCCTCCTGAGTCACTAAGATTCAATGGATGAGGCACCGGTGCTTAGCATCAATGATTCTTACTTTGTCATTTTTTTCAGCTTCTTTAGTTACCCACATTAGTTTCCTCTACTGAGCCATCTTTCTCCTTGTTCCTACTGCCTTATCTTCCAATAAACACTTAGAGTGCTAAGTATTTCCTAGGTGCATTAACTTAGTTCCCTTTACCATGGTCTTACCTACCATCATGGTAAAGTACTGGCTTTGTCCCTCCCAGTGGTAGAACTGGGACTTGAACCCAGGTCCCTTCTGCTCCCAAATCAGTACTCAAACCACTAAGTAAACTTTCACATATAGTACCTTTATCTTGAGTGTCTCATAAGTTTCTTTTTGCCTGAACCCAGAATCTGTTGTGTTTTCCAGGTCTTTGTGTAGAGTTTGGCACAGTTCTGGTCTACACGTGTGAGAAGAGCTGCTGGCCTCAGAATCACCAAACTCCCATGGAAGAGTTTTGTATCATACAGCAAGACCCAGATGAATTCTTATTTAAGTAGAGCATTGCATTTTGTTTATATACATTATTAAAATGTGTGAATTCAGGTGCATTAAAAAAAAATTTTAGCCACTAAGCTACTGTCTGGTTCTTTTTATTTGTACCAGCACTGAGGCCTCACACGTATTGAGATCTCACTTGGCTTTTTTGCTCAAGGTTGGCATTCTGCCATTTGAACCAAGCCTCCACTCCTGGCTTTTTGCTGATTAATTGGAGATCAAAAAAAATCTCACAGACTTTCCTGCCCAGGCTGACTTTGAACTAGTCTCCTCAGATCTCAGCCTCCTGCGTAACTAGAATGACAGCTCTGAGCCACTGGCACCTGACTATACCAGAGCCCTTCGTTCTGCTCACTCTGTGCCTGCAGTGCGGCCCCCCTATTTCCCAGCTTGGGTTCGCCATCCTCACCCACTCCCTCCTGCACAGGAACCGACCCTGTGTGGACACTGTCCCTCCTCCTCCACTCTAGTTGCACCTGTCTGTTCTCCTATGGCTTCCTTCGGCGCCAGTTGTGGAGCCTCCTCTCTCTGCACCCCTGGACAGCAATATGAAGACACTCCCACTCACTCACCAAGTTCAGGCATGCCTCATGCCCAAGTAGGGAGGATTATCATGGGTGGAGCCCTTCTGGGAGTAAGATTAAGGAGAATTACTCATGATCCTGCCCTTGTTGTCCCCAGAAACATGGTCAGAAGGATACTGACTGGAACTTCCCTGGCCAATGAGGTAAGATCCAGGAACACTGGATTTGCAGTACTAAGACAGCACAGAGCTGCAGAGAGCTTCGTTCCTCCTATTTTCTGTCATGCTGGCAGTGAGACTAGCACTTTTCCTGTGGTGCTTGTACTGTAAGCAGACTGCCACAGCCTGCCCAACCAGTTACCCCAACTGCAAAAGAAAGGAATTACTCCGATTCCTAGGGACACTACTCTGGGTTTATTTATGGCCAGAGAGTCCCATCCTCTGATGATAGGATAAAGTTGCTGCACAAGATATTTTTATGAATCAAAAGTGGTTATGGGGACACGGTTACAACACTTCATATATGACATTCTGGGTTCCATCCACCATTGTAAAAGAGGGCTGGGCTGGGGTCCAGTGGCTCAAGCCTGTAATCCTAGCTAACTGGGAAGCTAAGATCTGAAGACTCCAGGGGCTTTTTTATTCTTAATTTTATTTTTTGTCAGGCTTGAACTCTCAGCTTAATTGCTGTCTCTGAGCCCTTTTGCTGAAGGTTAGTTCTCTCCCATTTTGAGCCATAGCTCAACCATTTCTGGTTTTCTGGTGGTTAAATGGAAATAAGAGTCTCACATATTTTACTGCCTGGAGTGTCTTCAAACCACAATCCTCAGAGCTCAGCCTCCTGAGGAGCTAGGATTACATGAGCCACCAATGCCCAGCAAGGATTGCAGAGTGAATCTAGCTTATCCAGAAAAGTGAGACTCTTTCAGAAGAGTTGTAGCTGAAGTGGTAGAATGCCAACCTTGAATAGAAAAGCAAATCAAGAATGTGAGTTCCAATTCAAGCTCCATTACTGGCTCCCCCCCCCCCCCCCCCCCCCCAGTCCTGGGGCTTGAACTCAGGGCCTACACTGTGCCTGAGCTTTTGCTCAAGGCTAGCACTCTACCACTTTGAGCCACAGGGACACTTTTTTTTGTTGTTTATGTGGTACTGAAGACTTAAACCCAGGGCTTTTTTTTTTTTTTTTGGGTCCGGTGATGGGGCCTGAACTCTGGGGCTTGGGTACTGTCCCTCAGCTCTTCAGCTCAAGGCTAGTGCTCTACCACTTGAGCCACAGCGCCACTTCCGGCTTTTTTCTGTTTGCTCATATGGTGCTGAGGAATCGAACCCAGGGCCTCATGCATGCAAGGCAAGCACTCTACCACTGAGCCACCTTCCCAGCCCCAAACCCAGGGCTTCTTGCATGCTAGCAAACTCTTTACCACTAAGCCAGATTCCCAGCCCAAGAAACAGGGTCTTTTTTTTTTTTGGTGGGTTGTGGGCTTGAACTCTTGGCCTGGGTGCTGTCCCTCAGCTCTTCAGCTCAAGCCTAGTATTCTACCACTTGAGCCACAGTACCACTTCCAGTTTTCTGAATGGTTTATTGGAGAAAAGAGTCTCACGGGGGAAAAAAAAAAAGAAAAGAGTCTCACGGACTTTCCTGTCTGGGCTGGCTTTGAATCACGATCCTCAGATCTCAGCATCCTGAGTAGTTACGATTACAGGCGTGAGCTACTGGTGCCTGGCTTAGAAACAGGGTCTTAATGTGTTGTCCAGGCTGGCCTAGAAAAGTAAAAGGCTATGTTTGGGGTCCTAAAGTTCAGCACCCTAGAATAGAATCTAGGACTAGAAAGACAGTAGAATTGGGTTGTCCAGTGAATGGGTTTCCCAGCTTTCACTTATGTCTACTTGTCATGATTCCCTGCAAACAAGCTATGTTTAAAATCCTTACCCAGTACACACAGGGCAAACAAACTGGCCTCAAACCAATGGGCTTAGTCAACACAACCCACACCTCTACTTTTTTATGCTAGTAGCATGGCTTGAACTCAGGGCCTTTGTACTTTCTTACTTTCTTTTTTTTTTTTTTTGCTGGTCCTGGGGCTTGAACTCAGGACCTGGGCTCTGTCCCTGAGCCTCTCTGGGCTCAAGGCTAGCACTCTACCACTTGAACCAAAGCACCACTTCCAGCTTTTTCTGTTTATGTGGTACTAAGGAGTCGAACCCAGGACTTGAAGCATGCTAGGCAAGCACTCTACCACTAAGCCACATTCCCAGCCCCTTGGTGCACTTTCTTAGCATTTTTCATTCAAGGCTGACATTCAATATATTACTTGAGCAGTATCTCCAGGGCTGGCTTTTTGCTGGTTAGTTGGAGATAAGAGTCTCTCAGAACAGTCTACCCAGGCTGGTTTTGAACTAAGATTCTCAGCTCTCAGCCTCCTGAGAATACAAGCTTGCTTCACCATTCTACCCAGCCTTTCTAAACCTGGTGAGGAGGAGAGGTGGCAAGCAGGAATCTCTGCCATGAGCCTGCCCCCCCCCCCACACACAGTCGCGATAGATCTGAAAATGTAAGGCCAGCTTCAAAACAAAAAGAGGAAAAAGGAAAATTGTTTTCTAGACGAGTTCTTTGTTTGGACAACATTCCTGTCCATTTACATGTGTAAGAGCTCTTTATGGGTTGGATTGGAATGTGGCTTAGTGGTTGAGTGCTTGCCTAGTTAGTATGCATACTCCTAGCTACTCAGGAGGTTGAGATCGGAGGCTTGTGGTTCAAAGCCAGCCCAAAGTCCGTGAGATTCTTATCTCCAATGAACCACCGGAAAACCAGCAGTGGAGCTGTGAGTCAAAGTGTGAGGTAGAGAACTAGCTTTGGGCAAAAGACCTGAGGGACAGGGTCCAGACCCTGAGTTCAAGCCCCACGACCGAGTAGGAAAAGAAAAAAGTACTCCTTACCTGACTTATGAAACAGTGACCGCCCCCGTGCCTCACCTCTATAACAACATTTTTTTATTCTTTGTTGGTCACGGGGCTTCAACTCTGGGCCTGGACTCTTCCCTGAGCTCTTCAGCTCCAGCCAGGAGCCACAGCTCCACTTCCGGTTTTCTGATGGTTCATTGGAGATCAGTCTCACGGACTTTCCTGCCCGGGCTGGCTTTGCACCGCGATCCTCAGATCTCAGCCTCCTGAGTAGCTGGGATGACAGGCGTGAGCCACCGACGCCACGCAATAACCACGATTGTTTGTAAATTAAAAAAAAAAAAGTACACACTGGACCTCGTCGGAAGAGTCCCGGGTCTCCCTCGACCAAAGCGGGGCGGCCCCGCCCATTCGCCCGTCCCACTTCCGCCGCCTGGTGGCCGCAGTGCGCAGAAGCGGAAGTGGCATCGCCCTTCCCCCACCAGCTTCCGGCGGCGGCGGCGGCGGCGGCGACGGCGGCGGCTGCGTTCTCCCGCCTCCGCCTCGGTCCTCCCGCCTCCCGCCTCCGTCGAGGCTCGTGGACGTCCCGCCATGGCCCTGTCGTCGCGGGGGTTGTCCCGGGAGCTGGCTGAGGCGGTAGCCGGGGGCCGTGTGTTGGTGGTGGGCGCCGGCGGCATCGGCTGCGAGCTCCTCAAGAACCTGGTGCTCACCGGCTTCTCCCACATTGATCTGGTGAGGGGCCCCGGGCGCGCGCTGGCTGAATGGCGGGCGGGCCGCCGAGGGCGGGGGGGGGGGGGGCGGTCTGGCCCGGAGTGGTGGGGACGGGGCCCCAGAGGGAAGGCGCTGGGGGGGGTATGAGACGACCCCCCCCCCCCGGGGACTCCGGAATCCTGCGGGCCCAAGAGGGCAGTTTCTTGCAGGGGGTCGGCGTGGGTCCCCACGGCGCCGGGGCCTGCCTGGTCCGCTTCCAGCTGGGCGACCCCCCCCCCCTCTCGACTTGGCCGTCCCCAAATTGATGAGCTGCGTCCGCAGGACGGATGCCACCCAGGGCTCTTTCCATTTGCACACAGCCTCCTCCCACCGCCCGCCCCAGGCGAGCGGGTGTCCCTTCGTGGACGTGGTGACTTTTTTTTCATTCACAGCTTTCCCTCCCCCCCCCCTCTCCTCCCCTCCCCCCCAACTCCAAAATACCGACCCCTCCCCGGGTTGAGCGGTGAGACACTTGGATCTGGTAAACAGCCCCGTTAACTCGTGTAAACTTGGCCACTGTCGGGTGGGCGCGCGTCGTCGCATTTTATTTTAAACAGAGGAGCAAAGTGAGATGCTATGGGGCGTAGTAGACTTAACTCTTGGGCGCACAAAACAAATGGCAAGAGGCCCTTGGGACTCGGTGCCCCTCTCCTTTGCGTGTACCTCGTGTTATGTTATGAAAAGATAGTAGAATTTTGCTAGACACGGGGTGGAGGCTGGGAGGAGCGAGGTGGAGGCCAGCGTGGGCTATGTAGGGGATGCATGCACCCGCGTGCATGAAAGCAGCCTCGAAAGAAAAAAGGAGGGTGTTCACTTTTGCCTCATTATGCAATCACAGGATGCCACTTGTAATTTTAAATCAAGTTGGTTGTGGGCTTTTTCTTGTGTTGTTTTGGCCCTTCG